TATATTAAATAAATGATAAGGCATAGCTTGCTGAAAAGGAAAAAAAAAAAAATAGAATATTAAGTAATACTTTCTATTAAAAATTAGATATATAGGAAGAAACTATAAGTTCTTGTTTAAGTTAAATCTTATATAGACTAGCTATCTAACTTATAAATGTGTAAAGCATAACTATCAAAGGAAAAAAAATAAAAAAAATTCTTTAAAATTACAAGACTTTAATATACTATATAAACAACTTATATATATATATATATATATTTTTTTTTTTTTATTAATTAAAGTAGCTTACTATGCTAAGTAGATTTTATTAATTAATATATGAAGTTGTCTATTAACAATCTCCTACAGTTTGTAATTATATAATGAATATATAACTTGCCATATGTACTACTTTAGTCATTATCTAATTTAAGTAGTCTGCTATATAAGTAGTTCTTCTGTTTGGTTCTACACAAGCTGCCATACCTGTAACTTGCTTGTGAGTTATTTATTTAAATATTTTGTCTAACTAATCTATACCAGAATTAACTAATGTTACTGTAATATCTAACTACTTAAGCCAGCTAGCTTATTACAGATTCATTTACCTAACTGAGTTTAAATTCTTTTAGAATGTATATTGCTTAATATATTATAAGTATGTAAAGTTTTAGTTAACCTTATAAGTATTTTTACTAATACAGCTTGTGTCTTTTTATGAGTTCATCCTTGTGATATTTGTATGACTTACTGTAGCTCTTCACTAATATTGTTTGCTAATCTCTTCAGATATTTCACAAGATAGATTCTCTTAATCTAGTTAGCTACTAAGCCAGATTGATTTTGCTAATTCTTCTTATGAACAGATTTACTCTACTTAACTCAATCTATATCTTTTAAGTGACAGTTTCTATTCAGATTAAACATTAGCTAATATAACTATTAAAAACCATACTATCTCACCAACTTAGGGTTTCTACTATATAGGTCTTCTGCTTATAGATCCTATTAAGATTTATTCATACAATATTACTTTACATTCTCAATATCTGAATAATATTAATGTAATGAGATTTACAGGATTACAACTTCAGAAATGAATAGAATTTATCATAAGTTAAATACAAAGGTTCAGATAATTATTCAAATTTGTCAACAGTAGGATTTGAACCTCAGACCTCTTGTATAATAGTCTGATAATCTAATTCTACATTAAGATTACTAGATCTATATATATATTTTTTTTTATAAAATAAAAATAAAAATTATAATTATATAATTTTTAATTTCAAATATTATTAAAAAAATTTTTATTTAAATATTTTAATTTTATAAAAATATAAATTATAGATATTGTTATATAAATTTTTTAAACAAATTTGTTTAAAAATCTTAAAAATAACTTACAGATTAAAAGATAAAAGCTCTAAACACTTTTTAATATAATTTTTATTTTCTTTGACAAAGCTAAGATAACAGATAAGTTTATGCTTCTATTTTTATCTAATCTATTTTTATTATATTATCATAATAAAAATTAAAAAAAAAATAAAAAATAATTTTTTTTTCAAATATAGAATTTAATATATATACTGCATATATACTGTATATACATTTACTATTCGCTATACACACCAATTAGATCCACCAATCAAATTTAACTATATATAAAGAGGAACCATCATATGACGGAACATGCATCCCGAGAGGGTTGGAAGATTTTTTAAGCAAAAAGACACAAATTGTTCCGCAGGGTTAAACCTCTATCTTTCGGTTTTTTTTTGCCTCGTTGCATAGCTGTACGTCTTAATCTTTTGACGAACAAAATAAAGGACTTTCTTGCATTAATCTGTAGGAAATTCAGTTATACAAAAAATTTTGTGGTGTTATTTGAACTTTGATAGGCAAGACGACGTCCCCAAAGCATAAAAAACGCAAGATTGAAACCATGTCGGTCCAGTCTGACGATGATCTCATGTATGAGGATTCTAGTCGAGACTCGGGTAAGTTAGGTTATTTAATGAAATATTAGCGGTAGAGTTTGAACGTTTGTTTTTGATCTTGAAACGTTTGTACAGTCAATCTTTTGCTACGCATTGAATCAGTCCTATACAGGAGGAACAATTAATGGTTATTTTTTATAATCACACTTACAAAATTTAACCTTTCCAACATAAAGACGAGGACGTTGAATTAGAAGACGTTGATAACGAAGAGGAAGTCTTTGCAGACGAAGACGTTTTTACAGACGTGGTAGCAGAAAAAGATCGGAAGAAAAGTTATGAAGTGGATTTTAAAGTTCACTCAGTTGAAGGTATCGTCAAGAATCAAGATGAGGAAGTTGCTCATGTGTCTAATATTCTTGGTATCCAAAAGCAACATGCTGCGACGTTACTTCGTCATTTTCGTTGGAATAAAGAAAGACTCATCGAGAGGTATATGGATGATTCAGGTGAAGTCTTACAAAAAGCTGGAGTCATAACTGATGATTCTAGGATTCCAAAGTTCGTAAAGAAGCCAGGGTTTATATGCGAAATTTGCTGCGACGATGATGAAGATCTGGAAACTTTGGCTTTATCATGTGGACATCGGTACTGTCGAACATGTTACGAACATTACTTGACACAAAAGATCAAGGAGGAGGGAGAAAGTCGCAGGATATTGTGTATGGCTAGTGAATGTAATGTGATTGTGGATGAAAAAACGGTTGAATTAGCAGTCGATAGGGATATACATGAAAGGTAAAAATATAATTAAGAAATTAATGATAAAAATTTTAGAAAATATTAAAAAGATAAAATTATTTAAATGACACAAATAATTTATGTTTTTTTTTTTTTTTATAGGTACCGTACGTTATTAAATCGAACATATGTGGATGACAACGAATATTTAAGATGGTGCCCCGCTCCTAGCTGTGAATATGCAGTTGAATGCCATGTACCACAAACATCTCTTACTAGTATTGTCCCAACAGTTGAATGTAAATGTAGTCACCGATTCTGCTTTGGATGCAGTTTACCAGATCATCAACCATCGATTTGCATGCTTGTTAAAAAATGGGTTAAAAAGTGTGAGGATGATTCAGAAACAGCTAATTGGATCTCTGCACATACAAAAGAATGTGGGAAATGTCATTCTACTATTGAAAAAAATGGAGGATGTAACCATATGACCTGTCGCAAATGTAAGTATGAATTTTGCTGGGTCTGCATGGGACCTTGGTCAGAACATGGTACCAGTTGGTATAATTGTAATCGTTATGATGAAAGAAGTAGTCAGGATGCTAGAGATCAGCAAGCAAAATCTCGTGCATCCTTGGAACGATATCTTCATGTGAGTTAAAAATTCAATTAAAATTTTAACAAAAAATTTTTAATAAATTATTACATTAATAATAAATGAAAAAAAAAAAAAAGTATTATAATAGATTTGCCAATCATGAACAATCAGCAAAACTGGATCGAGAACTTTATAATAAAACCGAAAAGAAGATGGAAGAAATGCAACAAACATCTGATTTATCTTGGATTGAAGTTCAATTCCTTAGGAAAGCAGTTGATACTCTTGTGCAATGCCGTATGACGCTTAAATGGACATATGCATTTGCATTCTACCTCGCTCGTAACAATCAAACAGAAATATTTGAAGACAATCAACGAGATCTTGAAATGGCAGTTGAACAACTTTCAGAATTATTGGAAAAACCTATTGAACCCGAGAAAATTAGTGAATTGAAAGAACAAGTCTTGAACAAAACAGTATATGTTTTAAATCGTAGAGAGGTATTGTTAGAAGATACCGCTAAAGGATTACTTGAAGGGCGATGGGAATTCCAGGTAGATATTACAAACTAAATAAAACCAGCAATGTCTGTACGAGAATAACCTATGTTCCACATTGTGTGGCGCGTGTTGGATGGGATATAAGATACATATAATATATATAATTTTTTTTTTATTTTTATTTTTTATTAATTAAAAATAAAAAATTATGGCTAGCTTTGGATGGGGACGGATTACATCAAAATTATTGGACAGTTATAATATACCAATCAGTTGTTATGAAATTATGCGCCAATCTAAGATAATAATTCACCTTACAAATTTGTGTTGTTATTTGTCACTTTTTTTTAGTATATATAACTATTTTTATTATTGAGATTTGATTTGTAGACGCCCAAAAATGGTTCACGCAGTGTCGGTCATTGTACAGTGTAAACTTTTCAATTCAGCATTAGCGTTGTTTCAATTCTTTGTATCTATCTTTTTTTTTTTTTTTTTTTTAATATTACTTTAAATACTATTTTTTTGTTTTTTATTAGTTTCGCTTTTTTTATATAAAAAAACAATTTCTTATTCCTTTCATACAAACAAAATTTTTGTTTTTTCATAAAAATGGTAATTCTTCTATATAAAGTTATAATATTTTAGTGTTAGACCATTTTTATTAATATAAATCGCAAAGGGTACGACGAATTCGTTTTTATCATAATGATTAAAAATAGATAAAAAAATTTCTTGATTTAAAATAGAATAATTGAATAAATTTTTTGGACTCGTACAAAAGCTGCTATAACATATTTTCATATCAACAAAAGAAAAAAAAATTCTTGATTTTCAAAAAAAAAAAAAAAAAAAAACAAATAAACAAATACAATGTTACAATGCCATATACTACGCAATATATCATGATTCAATGTCACAATACAAATATTAATACCTAATTTGAAATTTTACACATTTCGTAAGAAATCAGTATGAAAAATTGCATATGGAAATTGCATATCAAATAATAAAGCAATAGTTGTTAATTGTTAAAGCAATCCATCATTTGATTATTTCTGATCGACAACCACACTGCTAAGTTGAGTATGAGGAGTAGAATAATCTTCTTCTTCATTTTCTATATATTGACGAGATAACGTAGCAAGGTGTTTCAAATTATCCCAAACATTAGGATAAACGATTGAATCCCATTTATCCTTAATTTCATTGAAGATTTCAGCAAAAGTTGAACCTCTTTTAACAGTAATACGGAAATATGGATCAATATTTTCATCAATTTTAGAATTTGCGGGACGGAACTCAAGTCGTACAGGTTCTTCGGCAGGATTAGGATGATAAGTTGGAATAATATAATCAAGAAGAGATTTGTGTTTGGCGTAACCAAATTCATTAAATGTGGGTAAGAGATCAATAATTACGTCAGGGACATGAACATGTGGCGCCTCTGTCACGTCGTCAAACAGGGTTACTTCAAGTTTAATATTTGAATACGTGCTAAGCCATTCAAGAATTTCTATGAGAAAAAATTAGAGATTCCGCGTTATTTAAAAAAGTGAAGTTTATGAATTTTTTATAAAAATATATTTTTTTTTACCTGGTTTAGTTCCAAGAATTATAAACCTTGAAGAATTTACAACAGACAAACTGATTATTTGCGGTAAATTCGAGGGAGTGATAATCTTTCCCGAAGTCATTATCATATTCCCGAGCTGTTCACCTAAAAAGCGCATTAAATAATCAATATCTACACATACTTTTAATAAATATTATTATTTGTTCGAAAATTAGACAAAGTTATATTACCGATAGCATAACCATACTTTAAAACCATTTTGAAACAAGATAAACAAGGTAGAGTAATCTCGGGAAATTAAAATACGTAAAAATTTATAGGTTTTTCTAAACATGATTTTTTTCACCTGATTTCAAGTTTGATGTTTAGGCCAAATCATAGGGAAATCGATATTTTTGTAATTTTTAATGCAGTGTAACAATACCACTACGGGCAAAATTAAGATTGTAATTTGGGCGAGCAACATAAATTTGGCCAACCTGAATTGTCGGCAAGTTTCGGATAATTAGACAATCAACAAACCAAACCCATGTTCGCTGGAAATTAGGATGAACTTTAGTTACTGATCACGTTATATCACGTTACACCAAATATTGCATTCTAATTGACCGATCATGGGCAAATCGGTATAAATCGATATTTTTAACCAAATCGATAGTATTTTTGCCAAATCAAATCGATATTTTTCGTGGTTCCTGAAGGGAACTGTTAAACCATGTTGCATAATGCACGTGTTGTACAACGAACGTGCCGGAGGTTCATTCAACAAACGTGTCAGAGATTTATAAACATATATATTACGTGAACGTGATGTAAGGTTGAAATCGCGTTAGCATTAGTCATTAGGCCACACAAAGTTAATTTCTTGGTTTACATAACCCGGCCGGATCAAAATTTATAGAACTTTGAAAAAAAATTTCATATGTAATTTATTATAAAATCTCCGGGTCAGTTTTTTTAAAAAATTTCTATGTTTTTATATTTTTCTCTAAAAAAAATCATATGAAATTTTTTATAATTTAAAATAAAAAGCCGGGCTGCCGAGTCACTTTTAAAATTTTATGTTATGAAAACCAAGAAATTAACTTTGTGTGGCCTTAGTTATTAGTTATTAGAAGTTGTAACAACTATGTATTCGAGTTGTAGTCATAGATAAGCAATTGTATTGTAATATGCGATATAAATATGTAAAAAGAGAAAAAACTAATTAAGCTTTTACTTGTAATTAATAAAAAAATTTTTTTTTTTTTTTTTTTTGTTATTAAGGCGGCTTACATTGCTGAAAGAATTTTATTAGAATTACATACGAGATATATATTGATAGTCTCTACTGTTTGTAATTACATGAAGAGTATATAACAAGCTACATGTACAACTTTAATCATTGTCTAATTTACTATAAGTAGTCTGCCGCACAGGCGATTAGACTACCTGATTGGTTCTACACTATGCTGCCATACCTGTAACCTGCCTGTAAGTTACCTATTTTAACACTTTGTTTATTAACCCATAAAGTTCTAACCTAATATCACCGCAATACCTAACCACTTAAGCTAGCTAGCTCGTTACAGATCTATTTATTCAGAACGGCTTAGGTCCTCTCAGAATATATTGTACCTAATGCATTGTAGATACCGTAGAGCCAATTAATCTCGAAGCATACCTATTAGAGTAGTCTGTACCCATTTTACAGATTCACCTAGCTTAGATCCTTGTAGATGTTTGTACAACCCCAGTTCTTACTGTGGCTCTTCACCAGTTTTCTGTATTTATTTTTTTGGATATTTCATGAGGCAGATCCTTCCAATTCAGTAAGCCGCTAAGCCAAGTTGGTGTTACAATTCTTCCTGTAGAATGGATTTATATGTATCTGACTCGATCTGCATCTTTTATCGATAGTTTCCTTTCTGAATTAAGCATTAGCCAGTGTGACCGTTGAAAGCTATACTACTTCACTAACTCGGAATTTCTACCATGCAGGTCCCCTACTCATAGATCCTATCAAGATTTATTCGTATAATATTATATATCGCCAAACGTCTTATCACACTTCCAATATTTAGATGATATTGATGCAATGTGATTTACAGAGTTACAACTCCAGAAACGATCAGGGTTTACTGTAAGTTGAGTACAAAGGTCTGAGTAATTATTCAAATTCATCGATAGTAAAATTTGAACCCCAGACCTCTTGCATGGCAGTCTGGCAATCTAACCACTACACTAAGATTGCCAGATCTCAAAAATTTTTTTTTTTAATCTTTTCAACAAGTCATACCAATACTTTATTTGCAATAAATTTTTTTTTTTTTTTTTTTTTACTTTATACAAATATCATCAGCTGAATTTTATTGGTATTGATAGTAGGAAATGATTATATATATGAGAATACAACTAATCATATGTACAACTTTAAATTGTCTAATTTAAGTAGTTCACTTGAAGGTTCTACACTAGCTACTATACCTGAAATTTATTTGAAAATTCATTATTTAAACTCTCTGGCTATATGTTATTTTACCTGAATACTATCATATTATCTTATTCACCTAACTCTATACTACTTCTATTTTTAGAAAATATCAACAGAGCTGACATTAGTTTATAAACTTTATGATTCAGAGCTTAGGCCTTATTTTAAGATACTTCTTCTCTAACTCTTTAATCAATAGATGTTATAATACTTAACTATGCTATACTATATCCTAATTTAGCTTGCATACACGAAAAACTCTCTCCGTCAATCATTCTGACCATTTTTGAAGCAGAAGGAAAAACTTAAAAAACACTATTTTTCTACTAAGAAACAATAGTCAAGCCCTTAAAGAGAAAAGAAGAGACTACAAAAATACATATACCTAAGTTAAAG